AACTCGATATTAGAAATGCCGTGGTGAAAACTGGAGATCCCTCTCATTTCTCCAGTCCCCTTGAAAATTAAAAGTTAAAACTGAGAAGTTCTCTTGGATAAGGCGCAAGAATGGAAGGCGAGTCCTCAAGTCCCCTTTCCTCACTAGGCCAGTCTTGGTCGGTTGCAATTCCCGAAATAAATCGCAAGGTGGCAGCATTGCGGCGAGAAATAAACTTTCTCATCCTATTGCTCTCGGTTTATTTTGTTTTTGTTTTTTTAAAGCATATTTTCCCTATTAATGTTCCTTCATTTAACTTAATTAGAATCTGGGAAACTAATTAAAATGGCTACAAGCCTCGCAATCAACAATCATTTGTATAATTATTGATAATTACATCAATGCCAATCGTTTTGTTATTAATGTTTGGAAAAGCCCATGACTACATATAGGCGTTCAGGGCACGGGAGGATCTGGGGTTGGGTGCTGGGTCCTATCAGTGTCCACAAGTCATCTGAAGAAGCTTCTGGAACATAAAAGCGCTCCCCTCGGTCTGTGGGAAGAGCTTTGGATGCTGGGTACTTAGAGCTGGGTCTTGGCCCCAGCTCTGTTACTAACTGGTTTGTGCCCTTGGACAAACAACTTTACCTCTCTGAGCCTCAGTTTCCCCACCACAAAGAGGAGAGAGGGTTGGACTAGGAATGTCCCTTCCATCCCAGACAACTGGTAACTTCCATGGGAAATTGGTCTTGCCAGAGATTAAGACCTGAGTGAGAGAACTCAAATCTGTGATGTCTGTGGAAGACCCAAGAATTCAGTCCCCAGCTGTGGGAGGGGAAGTCCAAACTCTAGTTCTCCCTGGCTTTGGCACAATCAGGCAGGTGCTGGCCGTAAGGAAGTAGGAAAAAATATTGGGGGGAGGTCCCCTACAGTAAACTAAGTCCCTCTCTCTGCAAATAAACCATCCCAATCTCGGAGAAAGGTCAGTTCCCTCTCCAGCAACTGGACCAAATAACAGACTCCCTGATCCACCCTTGGACCTCCCAAGTTTAGAGAGTAGTTACCCACGTGATTCTCCCCGGCCCCACTGGGTTCCCAAGTAGCGGCCCAAACCCTCCTTGCAGTTCCGGGAGCCTCAGTCTGACCACCGCAAAACTTTTCTATCGGTCTAATGTCGAATGATTGGACTAAAGTATTAGAGAGACCGCGGAGGATATGAAGCGTGCCTGGGAGCGAGGTGTGGGACTCTGGAGAGGATGCAGAAGCTGATGATTAGAGTTGGTGAGGATAGCACCTCCAGAAATACTCCGAGCCAGGAGTTCAGTACAGGAAAAGAGGGGGGAAAGGGGTGGGGAGAAGGTATTTTGTTTGGAATCAGAAGACCTGGGTTCAAATCCAGACTCTGCTGTTCGCTACCTATATGACCTTGGGCAAGTCATTTAACCTCTGTAGACTTCAATTTCTTTCTCTGTAAAGTGAAGAGACTGGACTAGATAGATGACCCCTACGGTCCCTTTCAGTTCTAAATCTATGCTTCTATGTCCGGGCTGCAAAGGTGAGGAGGGAGGGGGGAAGAGAAGGACAGATTTCAGAAGTGTCCATGAACTTGGATGGGGAAAAAAAATTACATCTGTATTTCAATATAACTGGTTTCCTTTGTCATTCCATGTATTTTGTTTCATGCATTTAAGAACCTAATTCTGAGAAGGGGTCCATAGGCTTCAACAGACTTACGAAGGGGACCATGACACAAAGAAGGTTAAGAATCCTGGCTGCAAGGGATCCCCTAGTCTAGCCACGTCGCTGTATAGTTTGGGAGAACAAATGAAATCTAGAGCAGGGGTGGGGAACCTGCGGTCTCGAGGCCACACGTGGTCGTCTAGGTCCTCAAGTGCGGCCCTTTGACTGAATTTGACAAATTTGTTCTGTGAAATTTGGATTCAGTCAAAGAGAACTTGAGGGCCTAGAGGGCCATGTGTGGCCTCGAGGCCGCAGGTTCCCCAAACCTAGTCCGGAGAAACGATTTGCCCAAATTCTTACAATTAGCTAGAAGCCAGACTTCAGGGCCTTGGACTGAGTTCCTGGCCCTGGGGTCTTTGCATGGTCGAGAAGAGCCCAGCTAAGTTTTCTGACAGCGACCTTAAACTGCCCCTGTTTTCGCAGTTCCCTACGTCAAGTACCAGCCAGCTGCACTCTCAGATCTGCACGTGATCTGATCCTCCTGCCTGATCTCGACTCCGACCCCCATTTTCTTGGGCTTAAACTCAAACCTCTCCAGGTCAGGCCCAGTGCAAGACACTGGGAAGAACAATTCTAACAAGTTCTAACCTTACCTCTGTTTATCAGATAATGGCATTTATCATAACTTAGTTAATCAGCTTTACCAGCATGAATTCTTGTTTTTGTCCCCATCCTCTTGCTTTCTGTACCCCTGCTCCATAATCTCCCGTTTAAGAATCACCAAATGCTCTTTTAGACGAAACTGAGCAGGATATTTCGACTCATTCTCCCCTTTCCAGAAATATTTCTGTAAGATGGGGATGTAAGGCAGCATGGTTGAGTTTGGGGTTTAGAGGGCAGGAGGAAGGATGGAGGAGGAAAAAAAAGGAAGATCGGATTTAAAGCTTACAAAGTAAAAGGTACTTTGTATATCTTTGTACTTTGTACAAATACGAACTACGATTGCGTGCAAAACAGCTCAATAATGAGATGCCTAAAGGTTTTCTTTCAAATTTCTGGCTTGTGGTCGCCACAGGAAAAGGACGTGGTGAATTTTCCTGGTGAGCCTGACACGTCTCCCTAACCCAGCAACCCACGAGTGTGGCCTCACTCTCCAGTGAGACTGGCTTGGGGGAAAGACTTGGCGAAGGAGGTAGGGAAGGACCCGTTCCGGTCGGGGGGGCAACGTCTCTTTAACTCCAGAGATGGTTGGGGGTGAGATCAGAGCTCTCAGCTTTGTTTGTTCGGGTAATTCTGGGCTGAAAAACAGGTATTTAGGGCTAATAGCTGTGTAAACCACCTTCGGGGGGGAAAAACAAAACAAAACAAAACAAAAAAACCCAACACACCAAAAACCTCTCTCTGAGCTCATTAGTGTTTTACTTTCATGTGTGAAACAAGCATATAAATGGCCCACTAATGAACTCCTGGATCTCCGGAGAAGGGGGAGGGGATGAAGAACTGGGGAAGGAAGAGTCTCCTTCCAGGGACCTAAGGAACCCCAGCCCCCATTTTCCAGGAGAGCGCGGGGGATCCAAGTCAGCTCGGGCGCAGAGAGGGAGGCTGCTACCGAAGGCCTAACTTCCAAGACCCAAAAGCGGGGGAGGACAGAGAGAAGAGGGATGAAGAGCCCGATTTGTTTTCCTTCCCTGCGTCCCCAGACTGCACGCACCCCAGCACCTGCCCCCGCCCTTCAGATTAAAGACAACCCGACTCCAGGTCTGAGGCATCCAAAACCTCTTAAGTTGAGGAGGGGTCTGGTCTGCTTGGAAGACTGTTTGTTTCCCGGGGTTTCAGAAACCAAGGACATAGGACATTTGACGGTGAAGTTAAGAAGAGTCCCCCTTCTCTCACTCCTCGTCTCTCCACTGCCCGCCCGGGACTAGCGACTGAAACACAACTGTAATCCTGGCAATGTTTTCGCTTCTCAGTAAAGAAGTGAGGGAGGAGGAGGGAGGGGAGGGAGGGAGAGAGAGAGAGAGAGAGAGAGAGAGAGAGAGAGAGAGAGAGAGAGACAGACAGACAGACAGACAGACAGACAGACAGAGACAGAGAGACAGACAGAGAGACAGAGAGACAGAGACAGAGATAGAGACAGAGAGACAGACAGACAGACAGACGGAGACAGAGACAAGGGAGACAGAGAATCGGAGGCTGTGAATGATTCCTTCTGGTGTGATGGGTGAGATCAGCCTGAACTGCGCCACAGCCGGACGCGTCAGCTGGATCCACACCAACCCAGTTTACTCCCTCCAGGGCCCAGAATGGTTTTAAGCAAAAAGGAAGACGTTAACGAGATAAGATCCCTTCATTCCAGGAGCAGACTCGGTACCCCGAAGCTGTGCCAGTCTTGCCTCCCCCTCCTTTCCTCCGCGGTTTCCTTCGGGCTAGGACAGATCCGCAGACTGACAGACAGACTCTGGTCAAACTCTTCCCCGCCCGCGCCCTTTCTTTCATCAGCGCTCGCCTCCGGCGCCCGCATGATCGAGACTGTTTTTATTAAAGAACCAAAGTCACTTAATACAGAAATGTCTCCCAAAACAAAATTGAAAGGTTGTCATCTCGTGAGTCGTTGGTCGCCCTTTTAAAGTGCTGTTACATCAATAATTTACAACTAAAAATAAACAAGTTAAATAAAGCCCAAAGATCAAAACTCAGTGGGGAGGGAGATAGAGGGACAAGGAGGAGGAAACAGCAAAATAAATTACTTCGTAAATAAATAAGGTTAAGTTAAACCAAATGCTGTACTAAGAGAATCACAGTACATTTCTATCCATTGCACATAGCCACTTTGTCATTAGGAACGAGAGTTTAAGAAGTGGACATTACAGGTAGCTAGGACTTCAATCAGACAGAGATCACGCATGGAACATCGCGGGCGGGAAGTTGATAACGTATTCACAATCGACAGTCAGATACTGTACAGTTGGACCGCGTATTCTCTTTCGGGTTAGTTGGTGAGGGTTTTGTTTTGTTTTTTTCCCTGCCCCTCTTCCTTTGGTCCAGTTAAACTTTTGTGGCCCGATGCCCTGAATTTCAACTTAGTTTTAGGAGGTATTTACACTTAGAACCTCTGAGTCAGAATCCCAGGGACTTCAAGAAGGGGAGGTGTGAGGGGAGGGGGTGAGTGGGCCGAGGCTTGGAAGATGGAGGAGGAGGAGGAGGAGGGTGTCCGGAGATCAGTATTTACATTGGTCTGGTATAAATGGCTTGTTTCTCTCTTTCCGTGGCTGCCCCGTATTTACAGAGGAGAAGCATGGCTTTGTAGGTGTGTCCACGCGGCTCGCCTGCGTTAGTCTGGGCTAGGGCAGGAGTGGAGGCTTGAACGAGCAGTTGCCTGTGCAGTGACGCGGAGTCAGCATCTTACAGGAGAAGTGGTGTAGGGCATCGTGGGCTTCTGGAAAGGGAGAAACCCATGCCAGGGGCCCAGTCTTACTCCCCTCCCCACCCTGCTCCAGAGGATTCCCCCTCCGTTCTTCCAAGTCGGGGGTTCAGGAATCCCGCCTGTCTACTTATCTTAGCTGTATAATTTTTTAAAACCACAGTTATAACCAAACACATTTCCCTATACCCAAATATCCCCCATTTATCCCCTTCACCAACCCCTCCCCTCTATTTTGCCAGACTCAAGACTTATTTATCAATCTGCCAAGCCTTTCCCTCCCACCCTCCCTTTTTCTTTCTTCCTCCCTTTCCATCCTTCCTTTCCTTCCTCCTCCCCTTTCCCCAACTTCAGGCCTAGACAGGAGGGGACAGAACGCTCCCCTCACCTTTTAATTTCTGCTGGATGGCATAACGGGCCTTTCTTTCCTGGTCTAGTTCATTACACAAAGTGTCTGAAAGAGAATGGGGTTGGGGTTGGAGCCAAACTGAATCAGAATTGGGTGTTCTCCATTCTTCCACACCAATCATCACCAACACATCAGTCTCTGTTTAGTTGGGATAACTCTTCCGAGTTGTAGGTTGGAAACAAACACACATACAGCCACAGCACACTAGCTTATGACTTCAGTATGGTATAGGAAAGTAATGGTTGGGAATTGCGCTTAAAGGCAGATGGATCTAACCAAAATTAAAGCAAACTTAGGCATTACTTCCCAGGTAATTTTACGCCTCGATTTTTAATTTAGAAACCATGGAAATTGCCGCGATAAGAAGTTCAATCACTCCATGTAATGATGCCTTCAAGCCGTTTGTTGGGCTTGCTTGCCATTCTGAGGCTAATCAGAGTATACAAAGGATATTAAATAAAAAAAATAATTGTTAAATTACCTTCAATTTAAATCCAAATGACTGAACTAACATTACAGCCCCTACCAGACAAGAGGTAGTTATGGCCTCTTGCAAGCGCTCACCTGACTCGAGTCTTACCTCTGACAATTTGCAGCTGTTGTACCATTTCTTCTCTATAGGCCAATTCCCTCTTCATCTGATCCTGAAAATTATCTGTGCAAATTGATTAAGTGAGAACTGTTAAGTACAGTCCCCCACCCCCAAATGCGTTACCCAGGCTGGTGGCCCTCCAGAGAACCCCAGAAAATGTGTGCTTGGCGAACTGACAGCAAAAATGTTTGTGGGCTTTGGGGCGAGAAAGGATGGGCCAGGACGTACCTGGACAGTTCTTTCCCTCAATAGGTCTGGTGGAGAAGCCTAACTAGCTTGGACATCGTTCTTCAGCCCCAAGACAGTAGTGGGCGGATGATGAAGGACGGGAGAGAGGGAAAGAAGAAGAGAAAAAGGAGAAGAAAGAAGAGGAGAGGGAAGAGAAGGAGTGAAAAGGAGAAAAGAGGAGGAGAAGAAAAAAGGAGTAAAGGGGAAATGGTTCAAGAGAGAAGAAAGGAGAAAAGCGGAGGACAGGAAGGGGAAAGCAAGGAAATTGGATTTTCCTTAGGAGGAAGGAAGTGGGTGGAAGAGGAGGAAGAAAGTGAAGAGAAAAAGGAAAGTAAAGTAAAGATTAGAAGGGGAGAATGGGCAGGACAGGTAAGTAGGGACATACCTTTGAGGCTCTGAAATTCCCGTTCCAGTTTCTTCCTGAGCTCCATTTGCTCTAGAAGTAGTTTTTGCAGTTCGCCTATGAGGAACAGCTAGGTAAGACCTTGCAGTTCTCTGGTCAGGACAGCTCTGAGTCCCAGCTAAGCCCCAGACTCCTAAGTCCAGGCTTCCTGAAGTTTTTCAACACTGTCAGGGTCACACCCAAACCCTACTGCTGGAAAACCCTGCTAGTCTCCCCCACCCCACCCCTGTTTGAAGCTGGGACCAGTGCCTGCAGACTGGGGTTGTTTTGTTTTTCCCATTTGTATTTAACAGAAGGGTGGTGCTTGTGCTGGTGGTGCTGGTAGGAGCAGGGATGGCAGGAATCTTCTAACCCAGACACCAGGCTTCCACATGAACCAGTTCCAGCCACCTCAGCTAACCAGTCATTTTGTCTCCCTTTTGTCAATTCCAAACTGGGTATTTAGTGGACATTCAGAAAAGGGAACTAGACCTACCCTAATCCCTACACACTGTCCTTTTCAGAGGACCAGATCTACCCCACATCCCACTCTTATTCTTATCCATCTAGCAGACCTGTGAAAACTAAAATGGAAATGTTAAAGGGAGATACGGGAGACACGCTCTAGGGGTAAAAGATTGTAATTGTATTTGTATATGTCCCTTCTTGCCCTAGCCCCTAAAACTCCAGAGAGGGGGCCTCGGGACCATTTTCCCACCTCCCCACATCAGTGCTGCATCCATTCATATGGTCTTATGCCCTGCCTACAGAATTGTGGGATTTTAAAAACTTAAAGGAATCTTGGAAATCATTTTTTCAGATGAAGAAATTGAAGGCCAGGGAGGTAAAATGATCTGCCCACGGTCACAGTTAGTCAATGATAGAACCAAGGCTAGAGAAGATCTCTCATGTCTCCTTCGTCCAGAGCTTTGTCTCCAGAGAAACCACCTTCCTTTGGCTGGAAGGCAGGGGATGGGAAGAATGGGGAGGGGAGCAGGGAGCAGAGAGCAGGGAACCGGGGCCTTCTTCATCAGTGTAGCCTTCTACATTTTTGCCAAGAATCCTTAACCCCAGCTTCTGGGGAAGATTTCTGGGAACTCCTAAAAGCTCATTCCTTTTGAAGGTTTGAAGGTTGAAAAAGTCGTCTGCCAGATTGGGTGGATGCTATTGACACACGCCCCTTATTTACCACACCTCCCCTTGCAAGGTTAACTGGGCTTCTTTTACAGAAGGCAGAATTTCACTTGGTATAGAATCAACAGGAAGTCGATGCCCCGTTCTCTATCTCTCTGTTTCTCTAAACATTTCAGACCTTCTCAATTATAGGAAAAGAAAAGGAGAATTGGGGATGGTCATCAGGATAATTCAGACCAAAAACAAAAGGTGGGAATGAGACCCAAAAAGTCCAGAGACACCCAAAGGAGAAAAAAAATTTCCTATCCTTTTAAGGGAAAGCCAAATCTAAAGTGGATAGGTGTATTTTTGGTTGTTCTTCAATAACTACAAGCCTATGTTTCCAGAAAGATTGCTTGAATCACCTTCACTCTTGCTCTAGCTCACCCCAGACCCTAGGGTCTTGACATTTTTCATTAGGTTAACGCAGCAGATTCTGGAAGGAATGGGATTTTTACTTGAGAAATTGCTTTCAGCAAGCAGCCTGCACAACATACAACTACACCCACACACATTCACACACACACACACACACACACACACTTACAGGCTTTCTGCCCCTGAGGACTTAAATAAACTTTAGAGCCCTCACCTCTGGCGAGGTTCTCGATGTCTTTCTCACCTATCGGGGTTCCAGTGACATCCAAGGTCACTCCTTCTTCTCCTGTGACAGACAGAAGAGTAAGTCAGAATGGTCACCAGCTGTCAAGAAACACCTCGAGTCAAGAGTGCACTGTGGATTGCTTGAGAACACATCTTGCAGCTCAGCCCTGAGCTACCTCTTCTCTACCTACTTTGCCCATGGGGCAATAGGTGGAAAGGGAGAAGAGTGGATTCATAGTCCTGAGTAGTTTCTCTCGGAGAAGGTTAATCACCTTTACTGGTGTGTCCCTGACTTATCCAGGCCTGGAGAGATGGAGATTGGGCTACCTTTCTGCATGAAAAGCCCCTTGCATTTCAGGCTCAGTGCCCAGATTTCTTCCCCCCTCTTAACTCTCCCTCCCTTTCCTCTTCCCTTTGCTCTTCCCCTTTTTGGCTCCCATTCACTGGAACAGGCCAGTTTCAAGCCCACAGGGGAATGGGCTTCGGGGTGAGGGTGGGGAGTGGGCGGAGTGGAGAGAGATTTGGGAAATCAGGGGACAACAATGGAGAAACTGGCTCAGGGCTGGCAAAGTTGCTTAAATATTTATCTGTGTGAAGCTGGAGGGGACAGCTTCTTACTGTTGATTTAAAACCCTTTCCTTTCCAGTGTCCATATCTCCATCATGTATGTTTGCCTTCAGCAACCCCAGCAAGCAGTCAGCAGGCACAGTGCACAGGTGAAGTTCCCCAGAGCCAATTCCAGCCCCTTCCTTCCAGCTCCTTCCTTCCAGCTCCTGGGAGATGTGGGGATGGGAGCAGTAGAGGGCCAGGGAAGACAGAGGCTAAGACTGCCGCAGCAGAGGTGGGAGAAATGGGGTGGGGTGGAGGGTTTACTCACCTCGGTCTGTGGTTACTGGACTGGGCTGAGAGACACTCCTTTGGTCTTGATAGGATTTCCTAGTCTCCAAATCCTCTGTTGTCGAGTGATTGTCTTCTTTATCTGGCTCTTAAAAGGAATAAACCGATTTTCAAGTACAAGCAATGAAAGTATGATAGAATATATCCTTAATTACATAATTAAGGATGGGGTCCTTACCTCTTAGGGGAGCCTCCTAATCCCTTTGCTATTGGAAGGCTGACTGGGCTCCCTGGGAGCATTACCTTGGGTAAATCTGAGCTCTTTTCTTGCAAAACCTCCTCCCCAACCCCCATTCAAAAGAAGAAGAAACCAAACCCATCAGAGACAAATGACCTACATTGAGAGGAAATACTGGGCCACTAGCTTGTGTGTGTGTGTGTGTGTGTGTGTGTGACTGATTGTCTGGGGATTACAAATTAGGAGAGAGAGAGAGAGAGAGTATATCAGTATCTTCTATACACTTTTCCATCATTGGCCAGCCCACCCAAGAACAGTGTTCACTGAAGGCATAGGCAGGGTGGTTGCCCACTGAGGTACAGAATCCACCTAGGAAAGTTTGCCTCTAAAGAGTTTCTTTCTCTTCCTTCCTTCCTTCCTTCCTTCCTTCCTTCCTTTCTTTCTTTTTCTTTCTTTCTTTCTTTCTTTCTTTCTTTCTTTCTTTCTTTCTTTCTCTGTCTCTACACACAGACACACAGACACAGACATACACACTCAGACACCCCAGCCTTTCTTTAGGGCTCAGATTCTGTAAAATAGGAGGGTTGTGCTAGATTAGGGATTCTAGAGGAGTCCTGCCTCAAGGTAGGAAAAAAAAATCCATCTTTTATTTTCCCTAACCTCTAACTGAAATGATTTTAAAACATTATTCTAAGAAGGGACTCATAGCTTTTACCAAAGGAGTCCCTGGTATAAAAAAGAAAAGAAAAAGATGAAGAACCTTTGGACTAAGTGATTTTTAAGGTACTTTCCTGCCCTAAAATCCTCTGGTAACCCTCATATGGGGATAAGGACTGGACATGTGATTTCACTGGGTAGGCAGCTCCCTAGTGAGAAAATCCCTACTATCCTTACAAGATGGCAACTTCTCTCTAATTTACTATATACATATATATATATATATACGTATATACACACACATTCATCACACACTATATATATGTATGTATATATATACATCACAAAAACGTCTCCTGTTGAGTTTTATTCCCGTCAACCACTGTACAATGTAGATGAATGATTACACGCAATTCAAACAGCCAAACACAATGCTTCCTCCAGACAGATCCACTCGAAGAAGCTGCTTATGACTTGTACATAGTAGGTGCCCAGTAAATAGCCACTGAGCTCCTGAGTGAATGGATGGATGAAGTTGAAGGGGGAGTCAAAATGGAAATCAGTGTTCAGAACTGAACTAAATGCATACTAATGAGAAGGGGGAAGAGTCTTTTAAAATAGTACAGTATAAGTTGTTGGGGTTCTTTCTCCTCATTATTTTTATTTCATATTCTTCTCTCCTATTTCAGCGAAGTCGCTCGGGTGGGGAGGAAGGGAGAAAGGGCCACCTTTACCATTTGCCTCTGAGTTGCAAAGGTAAGAGGCCGCCGTTCCCAGTGCCGAAGAGCTCTTCAGGGTCTGCAAGTGCTCGTCTCTTTCCTGCACATACACCTGCAAAGGGGACGGGAGAAATTAGATGCAATTAGGCCGGCCGCTTGTTCTAGCCCCGAGGACCCTCAGACACCCTTCTAGGCCAGGGAAAGGGGACGTTACAACAGGATTCGATTGGGGGAGGGGGACCAGGTGAGGGGAGGGACCAGGCTGTGTGCAAATCGAAGGGGGATGGAAGAGGAGGGGGAGGGACCCAAAGTCAACCAGCGAGGGTACAATGACCGCCCGCCTGGTCTTAGTGACGCAGACGAAGCGGCCAAATGGCCTCCGAGCCTAGCACAATCGGTTTGCATTAAATATAATTATTAGTGCTCTAGAGAAAATTACCTGAATTAAAAATTCAGCCGCGGAGGCCAAGAGCTTTTCAAAGCTCACGGCCCCCACAAACTCAACATCCGCCTAATTTTCCATAATTTCTCCTCTTCCCTTCGCTCTCTCTCCCCTATCCCCGGCATAAAAGATGTCCTAATAGGTTAATTATTTGGATGTAAATATACAGGTGTTCGGGATCACTTTAAAAACATCATATTATGCTGTGCCTCTTTCTCGATGCTCAAGTATAGCTGAATCGGCCTCAACACAAGGTTCGGAAAACCACACATACATACATAAATGCATAATTCACAAGTGTACACACACACACACACACACACACACACACACACACACACTCATCACTGACAGCATCCCCTAGTCATCGCACAGTAACTAGAGGAGCCCTTCTACCTTTCCTTTCCCACCAAGCCTCCACGCAGTTTAAGTCACTGTTCTTTCTAACGTTCCCTCAAGCTGCTTCTGTCTAAGGAATAAAAATCTATTGGATACACGTTTCGGAATGTGGTAGCCCCGGAGTTTGAGGAATCTCCGTATTCTACAGAGACATCTCCCACCCTTCAACAGCTTAAGCTATGTCTGGAGGTGACAGGGATCCTATGAGGCAAATTTTTGCTCTCTGTTTTCCTTCACCTTCATGAATCTGGCAACCGGATGCAAGTGCTCTATCACCCCCAGACCTCTCCAAACCAGAAATTGGGGAAACCCACGCCAACTTGTCTACTTGTTTCATTTTAGCGGTGGTTTTATGGGTGTTCTCTGTTAAGAAGTGTTTAGGAACATTCCGGGTACACAGAACCACTGTAAGGTCAGGGGGCGTACTGTATGCGGTCTCAGTCTCTATCTCTGTCTCTGTGTGCGTCTTTCTGTTAGCTAAAAATGCACCATGCAGGGTAACGCAGAGATAAAACTATATTCCACAAAAAATGTAATTCGACTCAAGACCTGCAAAATCTTGGAAGCATGACTTGTAATATTCCGGGTTAAGACGGGTGTGTACAATACCGACAGGAATTTACGTAGGAATTTTGTTCCACGGGGGCCCCATCAACAATTGGAGGGAGTCATGTAAAAAGTAAGTGGGAAGAGAAGAACTTCCTCCCGCGACCTGAGAGGCCTCAAATGCGACAATGGTTCAGTGGCTATGGGACGGCCAACTTCGAACGCACCCGCTCTGGATGTCTAAGGTGCCTATACAATCTAGTTGTATCCATCACACGGTGTTCTCAGTTCCACCACGCACTGACGGGAGGTGAGGGGGACTAGTGAAAAACAACCTGACCATACAGCACACCACAACAAGGCAATAGAGGCTGCGCCTGGCCCATCATACTGCGGGACCTTCTGTTCACCTCCCTCCCATTCCTTTAAAGACTGGATCCTTAGTAAGAGAAAATAAGGAAAAGGGGCTCACCTTGCCCGAACCAGGGCCAGGGCCTGGACCCGAGCCTCCCAGAGCCCCGCAGGGCTCCCGCATCTCGTAGCTTCCGTTCTCAGGACTCCTATCTGAGCGTCTCCCTGCTTCCTCAGCTGCCCGGTCTCCGAAACCTGGCCGGCCAGTAGGCTGCGGCACATGGCGTCGGTTGCGGTGTGGGCTGCCGCCGTCCGATGAATCTGCGGGGCAGTCTACTGAGGAGGAGGTGGCCGAGGAGGTGGAAGAGACGCCGCTGGGAAGTGGGGTAGTCAGGTCCCCTTCGGGGCCGCCTCCCCCTACTGATTGGCCCGGATCGGCTTCTTCTTCAGGCTCAGCTTCCTCGTCGTCGGGGAAGCGATTGGACTCTACGTCCACCTCGGGCTCGTCACCAGTGTCCACGTCGGGCGAGGCCGAGCGATAGCTAGAGCTACCCTCGCTCAGGAAGTCCGGGCTCAAGTAGCCCCCAGCGCCGCTGCCCCCGGGGCCGCGCGCAGCCCCAGCCCCATAGGCCTCCCGGGTGGTGCCGTAAAGCTTGGCTATACTCTCGGCGTCTTTCACCACGGGTCGAAAGGCCGACACGTAGCTGCCCTTGCGGGCTTGGTGGGGCGGTGGGGCCTGGGGTGGTGCCAGGGGAAGGGGACCCAAAGACGGGGGCAGAGGTTCTTCTACTCCGTCCTCGTCCCCAGGGCCGCGGGACAGCGCGCTGGGGCACCGCTCTTCACCTCCTAGGCCACCTTCCTTGACGGGGTCCCCCACCACCTCCAGGGGGTCGGCTCCTCCAGGGGGGACTGGACCTCCGCCTGGGCCTCCTGTTCCTCCCGCGCCTCCTGCTCCACCGTTCCCAGCCGCGGCTGCTGCTGCGGCCGCTGCGGCCGCAACCGCCGCTGCCACGGCCTTGGCTTGGCTCTGAGCTGGGTAAGGTGGCACAGGTAGGCTGCCTGCCGCGGGCCAGAACATAGGAAAGGTCGGATAGACAGTGGCGGCGGCGGCGGCTGCCGCCACTGCAGCCGCGTCCTTGGCTGCCCCAGCTGGCTGATGACCCCAGAACATAGTACCTCCGCCGGGTCCGGCCCCGGCCCCTGGGGGTAAATGTCCGCCGCCGCCTCCGGCTCCTCCTGCGCCGCCACCCGCACCTGCCCCTCCAGCACCCTTGGGATCACCCCCGCCCAGTACTGGGTCATCCTTCTTAGGGCACAGGCCGAAAGCCGTGGGGAAGCCGTAAGGATGAGGGAAGAGAGGAGGTGGAAGCTTCTGCAGAAGGCCAAAGCCCTTACTGGGCACAGGGATCACCGGGTAGCTGCGGACTCCGGCCCCACTGCCGCCTCCAGGGCCTCCACCGCCTCCTCCAGACAGGCCCAACCCCCGCTGCGGATGAGGGGGCGGTGGTGGGCCAGGTGGCCCCGTGGGATCATCATCGGTAGCGCATCGAAGGCTTTTATGGGGCGGTGGCCCGGAGGGAAGGTCTCCTCCGCAGCCTGGGCCGCCCCCTCCACCACCGGCCACTCCTTTTCCGGGTCCCCCAGTACCTCCACCGCCTCCTCCGCCGCCGCCGTGCAGGGAGAATGTCCGCTTACGGGTCCCACCATTGAACATGGCCTTGACGTCCTCCCACGCGTGACTCAGCTCGTCCGTGGCCGTCTTGTCGCTAAGTTTGAGATGGCGCCGCCATGAGTTGAAGTTGGCCGCGTCGGGCTGCGTGTACTTGGCCTCCGGGGTGCGGTGAGAGTGGAAGATGAACTTGTTGGGGGAAAAGTACATGCTGCAATAACCGCACTTGATGCATTTGGCGCGAGAGCTGTTGTAGCGCGCAGGGATGAAGCTGCCTCGGGAGCCCCAGGCGCACTCGTGCACCACGTCGAAGGCAAAGTTTTCGGGCAGCTTGGGCGGCTTATGCTCTCCGAGAAAGGACTTGCAGAGCCGTTCTGCCTCGCGCTTTGTGATCATGCCGCAGCGGCGAGACGAGATGGGCATAGCCCCGGCCCGGCGCAGGATCTCCAGCTGAACCGGGGTGCACTGCACGCATGTGATGCCCAGGGCCACCCGCCGGTTGTGGATCTCATTGTAGCTGTAGTTCTTCAGCAGCGTGTTGGAGATCTGCGCCAGGCACAGGCGCTCCTGGCCGTCAATGACCAGGGAGACGATGGGGACCCCGTACAGGGACGTCTCACCGACCTGGTTGGGCTTGAGGGTATTGGAGCCGGAGTACGGCTGCAGCTCCTGCTTGGAGTTTGGGGAGGAGCTTCCTTCGCGCCCATTCCCCATCTGACTGGCGAGAGCCTCCATGCCGCCACTTCTGCAAAAGAGAAATCAGAGAGGAGATGAGCCATTTTCAACGCCGCTGCTCAGTCCCGCCCAGCTGGGCGCAGGGAGCTGCTGCCTGCGTGGGGGGCTTCGCATTTGTTATTCACAACAGAAGTCACCCCCCTGTAATAAGTTTCCTTTTGTTATTAATACTAGTGCTGGCGCTAGGACAAAAGCCGTCAGGGTTGGAGGAGAAGGAAGAGGAGGAGGAGGAAGAGGAAAAAGAGGAGGAAGAGGAGAAGGAGGAGGAGATATTTACCCTAAAGTTGCCCAGCTTCCCTGGTCCTGAATCAAGGACATTCACAATCTGTTCTCCTCTCCCTCTGTCCAACCCGGTGGCCACACAGGGTGTGGGTGGGTGGGGACATGAGCAGAGAGATCCTTAAGAGGGGAGCTCCCGGCACACGGTGGTTGGAGGGCTGTCAATGTCCATTATCAGACTATCTGGACTGGAGGTGGGCAGGACTGGTCAGGGTCTACTGTCCGGGGTTCTGAGCCCCTTTCCAAAAGCTATTTAGGGTAGTTAGAGTCCTAAGAGCACGACCCGAAAAGCCGAAACTCCTCACCTTCGGCCTTGTTCAGGATAGGGGTGGGATGAGGGGAGAAGAGTGGACTAGAGCTCAAATGTAAACAAACCAGTTCCTTTCCGAGTCGCCCTAAGCTCCTTTTGGCAGAAAGATTAAAGACGGGAAAATTAAATGATTTTCTTTTTAAGTATCGGTGGGAAATATTTCGCCATGGCCGTAATAGTTATGTTTTAGCCACTTCCCTGACAAATACTAATTTCAGGGCTGGGTCATCCTGCGAGTTGGGGGGTTTCTCGTAGAAGTTTCTCAGGTCTTGCCTCTCTTTTTGTTCCAACCGAAAAGTCCCTGATTTTTCATTCATCAAATACTGCTTTCCCACTTTGCCCAGAGTGTAGGATTTGGACTTTTCCCTCCTTTAATTTCAGGTTGTCTGTCCCCTCCTTTATTCCTTCATTATTTATTTTTTCCAAATGTGTTCAGCATTCCAATTTAGAGCCCCAGCAGCTTCCTGAAATCTTTGAGAAGCTCAAGGTATTTTTGATCTTGAGGATCGCTCTTCCTCTTCAGCTAAAAACCCGGCTGCTCCGGTTGCCAGAATCTAGCCGGCATCTGACACGAAAGATTGTTTTAAATTTCTGGTTCCTTAGCTTTGGACGAACCCTGGTCGGCCACCGGTTCTCCACTGGTCCTTAATCACAGCAAACGCAGATCTGGCCTGGTCAAGGCTCCAATTTGTCTTGTGTCCAGGAAAATCAACCTTCCCCACCCCACAACATTCCAAATGACCAAGATGACAAATTAATTTCAAGAAATGCAACCCCATCGACCCAGTTGTCTTTTTAAGGAACCATGGGGTGAGGTGTAGGTATTATCTCTGCACATTTTCCTCTCATTGGTCTCCGAAAATTGACTTGAAACAAGTTGACCATGCCTAAAAGTTGCATACCCCTGTGAAACCTTCACGTCAGCCTAAGAAAGAAGCAAGGAAGCAGACAACTCCAAACACAGGGACCTAGCAGAAGGATCCCTAAGCCTAGTAAATGAGCTTATGTAGGAGGGATTGGAGAGGCTGAGTAGCTTTTAGGGTAATTACACAATCTCGCACCGGTTTCCGAAAATGTGAGGGTCAACTGGCCCGCATCTAGTGAAAAGTCTGTGCTGGAGACCCTGGAGGCCAATTTCCTGTCTGAATCCCAATTTGCCCAAAAGTCGGTCCACGGTACTGTGCAAAGGGGGAGACAGAGGGGGATCGGGGAGTAGGGTCTTGGAAATACTGAATTGTCTTAGAGACCAAAGGGGAGACGCATTCCCAGTCTTCAGCCTTGGACCTAGCCCCAGTCAGGCCGGGAACAGGAACAGAAGGAGAAAGGGAGCCCCAGGAGACGAATCGGATTTCAGAGACGGGATCCTGAATCAGAGGGTCTACTACCTGGAGGGAGGCGGGTTGAGGAAAGGAAAGCCCTGAAGGCCGGCAGTGAGAAAAAGGAAAGAAGGCGGGCTGAGTGGGATCGTGCACCCCAGGCGGGTTTGGTAAAGCTGCTTCTCCGCTTTTTGGCTTGAGGGGAAGCGGCAGGGGGCGGAAAGGGGGGAGCGGGGGGGGGTAAAAGAGGAAGGAGTAGAGATACCCTTTAGCCTGGGAACCTGGCGGCTGGATGAGCTGTTAGGGTTTTGTTCTGCATAATAAATTAAAAATAAGATCGAAACGAAAAAAGCGACGACCAAAAAGGCAAGGGGCTCCGGACTGGACCCGTCGCCGGTACTCACCGAGAGGCGGTAGCTGGACCCTGAAGTGCAGGGTCACTGTCTTTGGGTGACGGAACCGGCGGGAGTCAGAAATTGCACCCAGCTCTCTGGGTTATGGTGCGGGCCCACGTTTGCGCGGGCACACACACACACACACACACACACACACACATTCACACTCGCACACACCCTTCAGCCCTCCCCCTTGTCACTCCCCCCTTTCCCCCGCAGCTGCCCTAAGTCCCGGGAGCTGGCCCGGCCGCGAGCCTGGAGAGTTAGTTGTCTTGGAGTCCTCTTCACGGGAGGGCTCGGATGCGTGTCCTGCGCCGCTGTCCTCCCGGCCCGAGACGCAACAAGAGAAGTGACCACATGTCCGGTCCGGGGGCTGCGGCAGCAGCGGCGTCCGAGTCGGAGGCGCCGCGCATCGATCCGCTGACAGCTGAAATAATAGGCGGGCACACCCACTTAGCGGGCGCACCTCGGCAGGGGCCGCACTTCGCCGGGGCCCAGCGCGCGTCAATCAGACCCCAGCCCGCCAGTCACTCAGCGCGCAGCCTCGGCCTGGGGCTGGCTGACCCAGGGCTCCCGGACCGGGAGGGCGAGGGAAGAGGGGCGGGGGACAAGACAAGGGGTGCCCCGGGCAGAGTGCAAGGTAAGCGGCCGGCCTCAAGACACCTGCGCCCAGCTCTGCACCTGCGGCCGGGCGGGCGGCGCCGCGCCCGGGAGAGGGGGAGGGCTGGGGGCGGGGAGGAGGAAAGGGGAGGTGTAAAGAGAGGAGGGGGAGGAAGAGATGGCGCGGGGGCGGGGGGGGGGGGGGGGTGAGGGTTAAGGTCGTCGTGCAAGGGAAGAGCGCCGGGCGGGCGGGCAGGACCTGGAGCTGCGGGCACCCTGAGGTCTGGCCATGCTTGGATGGGAGTAGGAAAGAGACAGAAATAGGAGTCTTGGAAAAGGAGAGCAAGAAAAGCCGCTGGCTGACCCCAGACTGGGGTGAGGTGGGGGAGTTGCTAAGGGGCCCCCAGCTAACCCCTCGGTTATTGTAGTCCCAGTCGTGCCAACCCCCTTGGGCCCATGAGATGCCGAGGGCGTGGCGGGGATCCTACCCCAAAAGCTCCGTGCCACCTGGGCTCCACGCAGCTTGGAAAGTTTGTCTATAGGGGGCCCGAGACCGATTCAGCCCCACGCTCGGGGCTGGTACAGAAATGGGCCGACAAATGTAGCAGCTGCGTTTCGGAGATCTTCAGGTTTGGGGGGCCGGTGGGCTGGGGAAGGTAGCAAAGGGTGGCGAGGAAGGGAAAAGAGGGAAGGTGGCTGGAGAAGGCGGTGGAGATGATAAGGTGGAGTAAGCAGTGCCCGCGGCCCAGCAGGTTGGCCTCTCTGCTCCTTCACTGCTTCTTGTTTTCCCTCCTCCCTTGGCCCTGTCCACTGAGGCCCCAGACCGCGGGCGGGTCGATGGCGGGAGAAATCACCGAATGTATTATTTATGTAGCACCGCAAACTGCCCCAGGCCGGCGGGGGAGGGAGACTGGTCGATGCGGGATGGGAAACGGAGGCGCCACCAAAGCCAAGCGGGGGTGAGGGTAGTGAGAAGTGCCGGGGCGGGGGGGGGCGGGGGGGGGGGGGATGGGGGGAAGGTGCGGTGTGACAGTATGCTTGGAGGCGTGAGGTTTGGGGCTTGCGGAGTTGAGGGCGGTGTGGGCGCTGGACGTTTGGCAGCCATGGTCAGACAGAGCCGGGTCATTCTCTCTGGCCCTAAAATGGTGGGAGAAGCCACCCCTTCTCAAGTGTTGCGTAGGCGGATCGATGAGAGGCACCCAGGAACCAGGCCCTTACTGCGTTTGTAGAGTAGAATGTGTGTGAACGGGAGGTGGGGGGCAACTATAGGCCGGAGTGAGGTCTCTTTACTTAGGAAACGGGGTTCCTATCAAGGCCACGGCTGCCTTGCTGGGGCCCTTGGGTCCAGGCCCTGAGTCCTGTTAGGGCAAGTCAGAGGACGCCAGCAGAGCCAGGCAGGGGGAGCTGGAGGTCAAGCTCCTAGCCCCTCTCTCTCTCTCTCTCTCTCTCTCTCTCTCTCTCTCTCTCTCCTCTTTTTATTTCTCTTTAACTCAATTTCTCCCTCTCTGTATCTTTTCCGCCCTGAGTTAATTCTCTTTCCCCTTCCTCTCTACTCAATGTTCCTTCCAGTCTTTTTTCTCCTGTTTAAATTACAAGTCAGCGAGCTTGTGTGTAGAAGGTAAAAAAGGCTCCTCTCTTCTTCACTGCCCCCACCTCCAATCCTTCTTTCCCTTCCCCCCACAACGCTTCGTGGCATTAAATGCTCTTAATGGACACGTTAATTAAACTGTAATTAATCATACTGTCCAGCCCAAGTTTGAACAATTACCCTAATCAAACAGAAGTTAATAACGGCCGGGGATGGCCCGAGGGCTGTGACTTCGGAGCCGCTGCCTCCGCGGGCCGCAGGAACCCGCAGCACTGGCGGCCTGCTCCACACGCGCTGCAGAGCCTGCCACGTAATGTGTTATTAAGTGGAGTTTGTCCTTGGAAACAGATTTAGTGCTATAAATCTTCTCCTACCAACAGCTCCCAGGTCATCCCCCTCTTTATCTGTTCTCCCTTTCTCTTAGGCTCCTCTTCCTCTTATAGTCTTTGCCTCTTTGCTCTCCCTCGTTTTTTCCCCTTTTTTCCTTTTTTCCGCTTCTCTCCTCTCACCCTCTTTCCCCTTTCATTACCCTTTTCTATCTTTTCATTCCCTTTCTTTTTTCACTTCTTTTTCCTATTCTCCTTTCCCCCTTATTTCTTCTCTTCTTTGCTCTCTTTCCTCTTTTCTCCCTTTCTTTCTTTTACTTCTCTTCTCTCTTTCCCTTTCTGTCTTCTCTATCTCTACCTTTCCCCTTGTCTAGTCTCTCCTTTTTTCCCCCCTGCCTTAAATAGAGAGCTCTGGGATCAGATATTCTCCTTGGGAGGGGAGAAGGGAACCTTGGAGTGAGGAAAGAGCAAGTAATGTTCGACTCTCCCTGGGAGGCCAGGAGATGGCTTAGGGTGTATTTGTTCGTTTGGTTCCTTTTGTTTGTTTTACCCACTTTCCCCCCCTTAAATCCATTCACTGAAAGACGTGGAACTTTCACATAGGAAAGTAATTTTCAGCAAACCTAGTTCAGTTTCTCTCTTTGTCCTGTGTCTGATTTTCAATTTCCTTCTAAACCTATGTTTTTTTCTCTACATCTCTCTCTCTCTCTCTCTCTCTCTCTCTCTCTCTCTCTCTCTCTCTCTCTCTCTCTCTCTCTCACTGTCTCCACCCGTTTCTTGTATCTCCATCTCTTACATTTCTATTGTAATTACAAATCAGAGTTTCTCTCCTCTCAATCTCCTTTTTCTCTCTCTGGGTTCACCTGTTCTTTTCCCGCAGTTTCTGTATCTCTAGATAAATTGGTCTAAGTCGCTCTCTGATTTTGTCTCTCACTCTCTCCATTCTATCCCCTTCCTCCCCACCCCTCTCTGGGACATAATAACCCATTTTTGGTATCACTGTTGAATCCGTCCCCTAGCTCAGTTACCCACCCCCCTGCTTTTCCCTCCTCGCTCAGCCTGGGCTCCCCCACCCCATAATTACAATCCCAGTCGGTAATTATTCTTCGCCTTTTAATGATTTTTTAAAGAGACTTCAGAATCCCGCATCATTGTGACAACGACTGTGGAGCCAGGATAGGCCCGGGAGGCAGGGGAGAGGGGAGGGTGGTCAGCCAGGCCTTGCCGAACCTCGTCTTGTGTCTCCTCTATCCCCACCGCAGCCCATCCTGCGGGGTATTAACCACATGCGCAATTACACTGTGCTAGCTCCGGAGCAATCACTGTACAAACATTGCCTAACTTGTCTGGTCCAGTTTGGTGACTAGATTACACAGGAGCCAGGATGGAAGAAAGGCTTGTGACTGGGCCCCCTCTGTAGAGGGAGCTCTCTGCAGTCCAGGATCCGCTTGACGGACTTCTGGGATCTCTATCTGAGTCAGACTTTGACTCTGGAAGCGAATATCCTGGGCTAGCTCAAAGGACCCTCGGACCAAGCCTCAGGGTAGAAGAGGGGGCAGCAGAGTTGCACCGCCCAGGACTGGGAGGAAACGTGGGGGCGGGGTGGAGGCGGGATGAATTCAGGACCCAGCGTGATCGGACAGTTCCAGCTCCTTTGAAGTGTCCGGTTAGATTTGCGGAAATCCAAAAGCAGGCTTCACTCCAGGGCCCTCAAAGTTTGGAAAGGGTAGTGACTTCTGTTCTTATAAGAGTTTTATCCAGAGAAAAGCTTCAGCAAGAATCATAGGCCAGGAAGGAGGAGAGAAGATAGTTAATGTTTTGGAGGTGGGAACAAGACCTTAGGTCCTGGGGATACCGACATCAAGGTCACGGCTCTATGCCAGGCCTTCCAATGTGGGGGTCTTATTTGATAATAGGGGAAAGCAGTGACCCGACCCTCTAGTCTAGGGACTGTCCGAGGGTCCTTTCCATAGCGAAGGAGATGGACAAGTCAGTTCTCTTAGTCCCCTTCCCCCCACCTCACCAGACTGCTAGCCCTTCCTTTCTCGGCCCTGGACCGCAAAGAAGAGAGAGGACTGAATTTAGGTTTTCCCCGTCTCTCTCGCTAGGGCCAGGGCTCGTGGGAGATAGAGCCCCAGTTCTGGTGGTAGTTCTGTCCCAGCTTTCGGCACTTTCTGAGTTCACGCCGAGGTCCCTCTTTTCCGATGTTTCGAGTCCTCCTCCCAGCTCTCCTTGGGCCCGGCACTTCTGCGGCTCCTTTCCTCAATTTTCCTTTCACGGGGCTTGTGCTCTCCTTTTTCATCGAGTCTTACTCATTCCCTTTGCACCTGGTCGTTGCTCCCGTTTCTCTTTCCCATGCCCCCCGCACCTCTCCAGTTCGCACGGCTTTCCTCAGGCGCCGCGTCCACACCATGCCCTAAGCTCAGGTTGTGTGCGCCCCGGAGTCTCCGCAGCCCGCGCCCCCACTTTTGGCTCGGGTTTGGAGAGCTCGCCTCCTTCCACAAGCACATATCTTTTAACAGTTGAATTAACGGCAGTTTTCGTCAGTTAATTAGGTTTAATTTACATAATTAGTACAGTATAAAGAGTATTGGGGATAATCATGGGGTACGTATCGCTTACTGTGTAAACACGTATTCTGAATTAAAAATCAGATGTAATTAAGGCGTGTAGGCTCTGTTTAGGCAGGGTTTTAATTGTAATGAATTTCTAATTAACACTCAATGATTGCCAAATGCAAAGGGCTGTAAAATTTTCTTGTAGTTTTGCTAATTTATTGTTTACTTAATATCTGGATATTAATCCGCCGGCCTGGATAGACGGAAAGCTGGGGCTTGGGCAGCTTGGGCTGAGGCAAGGGCGAGGGAAGGCCGCGGCTGGGGAGGAGAAGGAGAGCGGGAATCTCCAGAGCTACCACCTCTGCACACCGATGGTGCTGACTGCCTGGAACGAAGCGCCCTAAAACCGACTGGACCTTCATCTGGAACCAGAGGATGGAGATGTGAGAGTCTCGGGGAAGGGCGGATGATGCAGAGCTGCTGGGGTTAGGCGAGGAAAGTTTTGAGTTGTGGAACTCTCGCTCCCACTCCTATCCTGGACTGAGACCTGAATTTTGAGGTGAGAGAAGAGGAAGTTCTTATGCCTGGCTCTCCCACTTCAACCACCCACACTCCCAAAGTGCAAGTAAATGTCCAAGAGAGACCAATGGACCTTGGAATTTAGATTTCCCTCTGGCCCCCAATCCAGCAAAGGGATTAATTGTTCACCTTCACTTTATTTCCCCTTTTCTTATTTGATACTTAGGGCCCAGGGAAGGTAGAGAGTGAACGTGCTGTGGGAACCAGTGCTCAGGAAGGAGATGGGGTGTGGAACAAGGTTTGAGGATGAGGCTTTATAGCAGTTAAATTTGACATTCAGACAAACATGCAAATGAGATGCAAAACAGCATTCAAATGGGCAGAGATTAATTTCGAGACTAAAGTTCGGGCACGCTTCATACTAGAGGAATAAGGCAACAGCTGGTGGAGGCCAGGAGTGGAGAGTTTTTGCAGAGATCTCCTTGACCAGGCTGAGGGCCCATAGTAAAATGCATTTCTTCTTGGAGCTTCAGTCTGCTTATCAGCTCCCTTTACTGCCAACAGTACAACGACATCCCAGGATTGGTTCCTTCCTGCATTTCTCCACCCTCTCCCCCTAACCTTGTGGTTATTCTGTTCCTCATCAAAAACTATTTGTTCCAGAACTAAGAGAAGAGGGTTGACTCAAGGTGTTTGGTTGACAACCTAAGGAACAGCTCCGGGGGAAAACATTTAGCCTAGACAGTATGAAACTATGGTTGGTAAAGAGGAGGTTTGGGAATTCTGGCAGGATTTCAGTTATCTCTGCTTTCTCTGACCCCAATTAGCCAAAGAACCAAAGGACTTTGAATATTTATAGCCCTGAGGAGACAACCCCCAGACCACAACTGAAAGGGGGTGGGGACCTGTAGGAAGTAGCTCAGATCATCTACACTCACATCTTGGCTTAGAAGTTCTAATTCTCTAGGTCTTTAGAGATCTTTAGGAGGCAGCTTCACCAGTGCAAAATATGTGCACATGAAGCTTTCTTTCCTCCTTCTCTCTCTCCCTTCCTCCTTTCCTTCTTCCTTTCTTTTTTCCCTCCCTCCCTTCTTCTTCTTTCCTTTCTTCTTTCCTTCCTCCCTTCTTTCTTCCCCTCTTCCCTTCCCTCCCCCCCTTCTCACTTCCTAGGTTCTTATAACAGCCTCCTAATTGGTCTCCCTGCCTCAAATATCTCTCCACTCTAGTCCAACCTACATTGCTGCCAAAATGATTTTTCTTAAGTGCAGATCTAATCATTTCATTCCCCTAATCCATCAGCTCCTATTGCCTCTAGGATAAAATTTAAACTCCTCTGTTTAGTTCCTAAAGCTCTTCACAACCTGATCCCAACCTATCCCTTCAGCAGCAATGAACATCATTCCCCTTCCTATACTCCTCAATCTGGCAAACTGACCTTCCCTCTGTTCCCCATAAGCCATCTCCCATTTCCATGTCTTTTCACTGGCTGCACCCCATGCCTCGAGTTGTTTTCCCCTCTTCATTTTTAGTTCATATAATACTTCTCTTCCTTCAGGATGGAGTTCAAGGGTCTCCTTTTACATGAAGCCTTTTCCAATCCCCTAACTGCTAATGCTCTAGCTCCCAAACTACCTTGTACTTAATTGCATTTGAGATATATATACACACATATGTATATGTGCATATATGTAATATGGACATATACATATATATATGATGTGAATATTTATATGTGTCTTTGTACCCCCATTAGGATATAAACTCTTTGTGAGTAGGGATTGATACTTGTTTGTACTTGTATCTCCAGTGCCTGTAACATAGTAGGTGCTTAATAAATGCTTGTTGATTGGTTGATTGAATGCAGGCTCTGGCCTGTTGAGGTTTGCAATCAAGTAGCACAGTCAAAACTTAAATACACAACATTAAACAGCACCCCAAGTGTGTTAAATGCCACACGAATGACACAGATACAGACCTCTAGGGATTCAGAGGGAAGAGATCCCACATCAGGCTAAGATGGTGAGAGAGGAGTTGATGGAGGAGGCGTGCCTTGAACCAGACCTTGTTGGAAGGGTAAATTTTGCCCAGGCAGCGAAGAAAATCCAGGCTGGGGGTGGTGGTGGGGGTGGGGGTGGTGGTGGTAGGGAGATGGTAGGGAGATGCACAGGAATACACTTGGGAATTCACAAGTCCAGCATATGGGATGGAGAGAGATCAGCCTGATTGGCATGAGATTCCAAGGCTGGAAAAGCTAGAACAAAGTTATGGACTATGGCCTTGAGGATTCAGGACTTTACTTGGTGGGTCATGGAGAGCCAACTGATAGAAAGTCAAGGAACCTAAAGGAAACCACCCCTGCTACAAATTGGCTATCTTCAGGGAGGTTTGGAGTTTGCCTTCCAGGAAGCCTAATATTTTAGCCTTATTTTTATTTTGAAGTTGGAGTTGGAGTGGGGAAGGGAAGAGGAAGATGGAAAAAGAGATAATAGCAGAAAAAGGACAATTTGGCAAGTTTTATGCCCTTTCAGGCAGGACAAAAGAAGACTTAGAGTATCTCCTGACTCTCAAGGGTATCTCCTGACTCTCAAGGCTATCTCCTGACTCTCAAGGGTATCCCAAGGGAAGTTATACCCAAGGTGAATCATCCTAGGCTAAAATGCCTGGTACTCTGTCATCCAGACATGAATATAAGCTCCTTGAGGGCAGGGAATATCCTTGTTAAAACACCACCCCGCCCCCCCAATAAGTGCTTATTGGATTGGATTGGATTAAATTGGAATGAGAGGGCAGCAGCTTCCCCCTCAAAGCCTTGCTTACTGACTTAAGTTTTTCATTCTCTTCACTCCCTCCAACAGGCCTGAGAACTGCTGAGATGATTGTCCATTTTCTCCCTTTATTGCTGCCACTAGTTCTAGTTAGGATCCTTGATCTCTCCCATAACCTTCTAGTTTAGGCATGAGCTCATAACCTGCCTTTCTCCTTAGTTCAAAGATTGAGTTTTCCCAAAAGACCAGCTCTAACAATTTAGAGGGGAAGGAAAGTAAACATTAAAGAAACAACATAATGTAACACAGAAATGCCATTATAAAGTCCTACTCTGATGTTGAGAAGGTTCCTGAAGGATTTGACAGCAGAATCTAAGTTCTGATTGGCCAAAGGATTATAAATAGTAAGTTTAGAGCTGAAAGGGCCCTCAGAGATGCTTCAGTGCAATTTCTTCATTTTACAAATGAGGAAAACTGAGGCTCTTGGAGGTTAAATGACTTGCCCAAAGTAACACAGATAGTAAGTGGCAGTAACAGGCCTATCAAGCTGAAAGTACGTTGGCTATATATCAGATTGCACACAGTCTTGGGGTGGAGGGAGGGGAGGGAAGGGGAGAAAATTTGGAACTCAAAATCTTATGGAAGTGAATGTTGAAAACTAAAAATAAATTAATTAATATTTTAAAAAAAGAAAAAGAAAAAATGCATTGACTAGTAAAAGACTTTCCTCCAAGAGCCAATCTAGCTAAGATCTGAGAGGCCACAAGGTGTTACTTTTTTTTTGCACTAGCTACTTCTAAAGGCTACCTTTCAGGATGTGGAGAAATCTCAACTTGTGTTGGTGGAGGGAGATCTGGATATAAACCCAGATGTTTTCACACAAGAGAGAAGTGACAGATCATTGATTGAAGACATCTATAATCTAGCTATAGAACCCACTTTAACATAAAGTTGGCACACCCTCCAAGCAACATCATGCTCCTATTTTCAAACTTTGTCTCAACTCAGTCTGAGAATAAGCAGCATAGTGAGATGAATAAAATTTTGGCTTTGAATCCTTCCTCTCATACTTAATTAGCTATGTGAGCAAGTTATTTAGCCTCTCAGTCACAGTTTCTCCATCTGTAAGATGGGGACAATAACACCTATAATACCAGTTCACAGGGTTGCCTTGAGGTGCCAATGAAATAAGATGCAAAGCACTTTATTAATTTATTGATATATT